GTCCGGATGATTTCATGATCAGGACGAACACCAGCGCAAGTTTGGCATTTCGGGTTCAGAGGTTGAACACTTCAGAAATCCGAACATGTTCATGGGCGTTTATCTTGCGGTCGGAATCGACCCCAGCGAAACGGAAGAAGCGTGACATCCGATACCTTGAAGACAAAGCCCACTGAAACGCAACTCGAGCGGGGGTAGAGCAGATGCCTGCCGACTCGCAGCCGTCCGCATCCGTTGCATGAGCGATCGGTGTTGGAAGCCATGGCTTACGACAGGCACACGACGAGAAACTCACACAAATGAGAAACAAATTCAGCGTGCTTGATCCGCGGCAGGCAAGAACTTACCCCGTGCGGCAAGCCATGTACTTTCGGGGCTGTAACTACCTTTTGGAAGGTTTGGGTGGTAGTATACTACCATGATGCGGGGAATACAGGGGAATATCATACACAACCATTCGACCTCTATATACGAACCGGATCTGCAACTTTGCCTTAAGCCCTAAAGCGCTGAAACCTTAAAAACCCCTGCAACCAAAACATAAACCCCGGGGCCCTTAGTCTTCCTCCCGGAAGCCCTTTTCCGCTGCCGCAAGGCTTGGAGAGCAAGTCAGCCGGTCAAAAGACCGAGCCAAACAAATCGGAAATAGAGAGAAAGGGAGAGAGAGCCTGAACACACACCTGCTGAGCACTCTGCACTCTGCTTCCATCACCGACCCTATTTTTCGGATTTAAGACTCTCGTCAGCAGCAAGTATCGGACCCGAATTGTAGGCCCAGGCCCTTTACACAAGTCAAGAAGCTCTCAAACGTTGGGCTGATGGGAAGCCCTTTAGGCTGGTGTGTATTCGCACCCTCTCTTGGCAAGCAGTCCAGGCGGCAGGCACTTGCGATTGCAACTCCAAAACTTGCAGGTTCGGAGAATTGCTGGAGCGGCGCAAAACCGCACAAGCTCACGCCCTACTTTAACAATGGATCTTCAGACCTTCTGAGCAGTGGCCAGATTCCCCAAACCCTTTGCTGGGCATGCAAATTCGACAGCTGAATCTCCTCTGGCAGCTTCTCAAAACCTTTTCCGAGCGTTGGGGGTTTGGGGGGTTAGGGTTTAGGGTTTAGGGTTGGGCGGCTTGAACTATGAAGTAGCAAGTGGATGGCTCTGCCAAGACTCAGGCTACCGAGATCGCCTCGGTTCACGTCCGGGCTTTCTTATGCATCCCCGTATTGAGCAACACCTAAACCCTAAACCCTCAAAACCCCAAACGTCTATCCTCCGGTGATGCTCTTCGACGGTCCTTCCTCGGACTGTTTCAACGCCGCGGCCTCTTCTACGACGACCCTGGCATGAGCCACACGTTTGAAGATCACCCGTACACGAGGATGTCCTCGAAGAACCTGACTTACACACACACACACACCCACGCACACACACACACACACACACACACACACACACACACACACTCAGCGATAAAGCACCTCAGGCCTTCAACTAGAACAAGTCTGACTAAGAAGAAGCACTACACACACACACAGCTCCTCCCCCGGGGTCGCAGGTCAAGTGAAGCCATAATGATGGGATTGCTGCTAGCAGCTAGCAGAGAAAGACTCATCAAAACCAACAGTGGGCAGTTCTGCCACATTCCGCTCGGGGGGGGGGGAGTGCAAACGTGAACCAGTCAGATTCAGTTAGATAGACAGCGAGATAGGCAGATGGATAGATAGATGCATAGACAGACAGATAGATAGGTATCTACCTATCGATCTATCTACAGCCAGATAGCTAGCTAGATAGCGAGATAGCCAGAAAAGTCGGCAGGTTGGCAGATAGGTAGACAGATAAATAGGTAAATAGGTAGACGGGTACACAGGCAAAGAGGTCGATAGGTAGCTGGTCAATCAGTTAGATAGTCAGCTAACAGCTTAGATACTTAGCTTAATAAACAGATAGCTAGCCAGGTGGAAATAAACAGACAGCCTAGCCAGCTAGCTACCTAGGTAGTTAAATGGATCATAGGAAAACCTTCCCCCCGGGCACACACGAATTTGACAATCCGCTGGACGTCGGAAAAGGTGTCCTACATTCGAAGTCCTGAACCCTACAACCTCTGCACCGGGAATTGCACCCTACGGGTTTACGATGATTTAGAGTTTACAGTGCATAGCTAGGATTGAGGTTGGAGCTTGGAGCGGGTTCAGGAAATTCTCTTCACCGGCCGCTGGCCAATTGCCATCTGCCCGGATGCTGCAAAATCTTCCGAAGCCACCCCCTCCTAATGCAAAACTCCCCCAACTTCTTCTGACGTGGAACGGCCGACAACGGGTTAAACCTCATCCGATACCCTTGACCGACTTGGTAGGTTGGGTTGACAATCAGGCACAGACGACATTGAGAATTGCAGGAGAACCCGGAAGCTACGCTCAACCCCCAAACGACACATGTGCGAGGCTTCACAGCATCACGGCTTCGATGCATTGCAGAAGCACCTTGGATCTCTGGCGTGGCCATGGATCTAAATCTCCAAGGGTAAAAAGAGGGGCCCTGAATAAGGACCCTAGGTAAATACCCTTAATATAGCTATTATATACCCATTATATAGCTCCATTATAGGGACCCATAGGGCATTCATTTTTTTGGTTAGGGTTTAGGGTTCAGGGTTCAGGGTTTAGGGTTTAGGGTTTAGGGTTCAGGGTTTAGGGTTTAGGGTTTAGGGTTGGGTTTAGGGTTTAGGGTTGGGTTTAGGGTTTAGGGTTAAGGGTTAAGGGTTTAGGGTTTACCTTAACCCTGAAGAACCTTCCTTTTTAGGGTTCCCTATTTTGATGTCCTTATATAAGGCCTTAAAAAGGCAGGCTCTTCAGGGTTAAGGTAGGGTTTAGGGTTGATGTCTGGCGTTGGCATGGAGGTCCAGGGAGCTTCGGCGACCAATGACAGATCTATCACATTTCCCTCGGGGAACTCCTTGGAACGGTATTAGTACCTTCCCAGAGACTCCAATATCCCTGAATTGAGGAATATACCTTAAATCATATTACGGATCCTATTATGATTTCAGGTATATTCCTTAATTAAGGAATATTCCTTAAATCATATATGGGATCCTGTTATAATTTAAGGAATATTCCTTAATTAAGGAATATTGGAGTCTCTGGGCTTTTTAAAAGCCCCGAGGTTGGCTGAGGAGCTTGAGCACCCCTAAACCCTACCTGGACTCTAAGGAACCTACCCTTTTTAGGGTTCCCTAATATGACTTCTTTATAGAAGTCCTTAAAAAGGTAGGTTACTTGGGGGTTAAGGTAAACCCTAAGCCCTAAGTGCGTGGAACACGCTATCAGGATGCTCCCTGCGCAAAGGATGACACACCAAGGTGCGCAACACGAAGGCTGTTTTTGCTCGAAAAAGTTCGGAGCCCCAGATGAGCGATCGATTAGGCCATAACATTCGGGAATCACGAAAGTCGCCAGGCAATCTTGTCCTTCGGATTGGATTCGGATTAAGTACTTGTTTGGACGTTTGTGTCCCTGGAGATCGAGGTGGCCGCTCGGATTGCAATTACTGGGTTTGGGTGGTTTAAATTACGTAGGTTATCAGCCGTAACCGGCTAGGTTACGGGCTACGAGACTTGTTCGGGGTCTAGTGTAGATTCCTTCGGGAGCCATGGATGCTCTTCGCCGTAGTAGGAGAAACTTGACTGCTGGTGATCCGGAGTTGGGAGATTCTGCTATGGAGCCTGATTATACAACAGCCTTGGGTCAAGATCTTGCGCCTCATGAGGGTGTTGAATCCAAGCATGTGGGAGAGGCCTCTCCGGGAACTCTCGAGGAGGGTGGGGCTATTTCGCAGTTGGATGAGGGGCCTATTGCAAGTCCATTTCATTCTGACAAGGTCAGGGTGGAGGTGGCTTTGGCACGGAGCAGGCCTAAGTTCCTCGATGACGATGGGCGTAGGGTTGGCGATTATAGCGATACGGGGCTAGGGGATAACAGCTTGGCAGGGCGCCAAGATGAACCAGACTACTCTGGACCTGTATCAGCTCAGATGGGGCTGCCAAGGGTGGCAAGGATTGAGCATGTGGCGTCTCCGGGCGCGGCTTCAAGCGGCAACGGTCGTGATGGTGTAGAACATTTCGATACTGCTAAAGCTGGAGCTCGGCAATCGCCGGATCATGAAGGGTCTACCGGAAAGGGTGTTGGAATTCCTGGCACTGCAAGACGGGTGTCTCAACCTATTGATTTGGATCCTGAGCCTCAGGGTAATCCCGAAAGGCCGAGCGTTGATGATCATCGGGAGTTGGTACCTGCGGAAGCTAGTAAGGCCGATCAGCTTGAGGTGATGCTCCTTCAAATCATGGAAGAGAATAGACTGCTCCGGGATAGGTTGGATCAGGTTGAGAGGTCTAGTTGGCATTCCGGGGGTACTAGGAATACGGGTGATTTGGCTGGTGCATCACCTATGTCTTTCGGTCCTGACCATACGCTAGCGGTGCAACCTGTACAGGCTGAGCCACCTAGAGTGCAATTGGATGCCAGTGGGAATGATCACCGGGATATGAGAGCCGGGGGTTTAAGTCTAGTTCCATCTCGACAGCTGGAGCTAGTTGCTCCAGGCCAATCTTCTGGACTGCGGAATCTCAATGTGGGTGCTTCCCAAGCCGGATTTTCAGGGCCGGGCGACGCGTTGTCACTGGACGTTAGGACACAGTCGTTTAGAGATTTCAGACAGATGGTTGAGGATCAGGGTCAGAGTAGTAGGGGTGATGCGGGCTTTCATACTCCGAGGTCGGGCCCTTCTACGGGGTTGATGGTCTCTGGGGATGGTTATCCGGTTTCTCCTGGAGGGACTGTTATCCGGCCTCCGCCTGGACCGCCACCTACCTCGCCACGCGTAGCGCCTGCGCCTCCTGTTTTGCCTAGTGGTCTGGGTTGGGCTGTGCCATGTGCTGCTTCGCCTGTTGGTTCTGGGATGCCCTGCGGTTCAGCGGTTCCGGGATACACGGGTGGCCACGGTATGGGTCAAGGAAGTGTTGGAGGGGCTTTCGCGGGTTCTGTTGGGGGTCTTGGGGCTTCTTGTGGGGTGCCTGTTGCCTCTCGTGGTAGAGGGCCGCTTAACCCAGAAGAGCCGGCGAAATACATCAACGAGCTTCCGAAACTGACTCAGACGGACTTGTCACAATCAGCTGTTGTGTGCGGGAATTGGGTCGCTCAGATTCGGCAGATCCTTGTGGGGTTGTCTCCTAACGCAAGTACGTGGTGGCTTGGTGTGGAGGGTCCTGCAAATGAAGCATATCAAAAGTGGTTGGTGGCTGACCCACTGGGGAGGTTGGCGATTGATCCCTCGATGGTAAAGGGAACCTTCGATGCATACGCGTTTGGCCGGGTAGAAAGTCGGGCTGTAAGCTTGCTACTTTCTGCTGTTCCACAGGGGGTTAGGGAGGATGTTGTTACCAACCGTTGGCTTTCTTCGGCGGCCATCCTTTTTAGGATTCTATGCTTGTTTCAGCCTGGAGGTAGTACCGAACGAGCACACTTGTTGAGCCAGCTGGTGAACCTTGGGGTATTTAAGGGCTTTTCGGAGGCACTAAAAGGTCTGAGGCAATGGCAACAGTCGCTGCAACGGGCAGGAGAAATACACGCCACCCTACCGGACCCTAGCCTTTTGCTTAAAGGGGTGGATGGTGCTACGGGGTCGCTTCTGGCTGCTCACCCTATGGTCGGGTTCAGGGTAAACGCGTTTCGACACCGTTCTGCTATCGATTATAACCCGTCCGTGGATGGGGTTGTTCAACTAGTGAAACTTATTCGGGCTGAATGTGAAGCGGGTTCTTTAACTATGGATCCTCCTGATAAAAAGGCGCGTGCGGCCGCTCTTGCTGCGTCAACTGCTTCTGCGGAGGTTGCTTCGGGGGTTGAGCCTAAGGGTCCTTCTGTTTCAGCGGTGCAAACTGGAAAGGGTGGGGATTCTGGGTCGGGTGGACAACCGAAGGGCAAGGCTAAAGGTAAGGGGTCGGGGGAAAACGCGTCACTGTGTACAAACTTCTCAACCGCCGTGGGGTGTCGCTTCGGGGATGCTTGTAGATTTAAACACGACCGAGCGGTAGCTAGGAGGGAGAAGCGGTGCTTGGCCTGCGGACAATCGGGACATTATAGGCCAGAATGCTCTGTAGTGCCGGAAGAGCATAGGCGGGTTCAGGTTCCTGATAGTGGTTCGGATGCCTCCCCTAAGGCTAAGGCCAATCCTAAAGCTAAACCCAAGGCCGGTCCGCAGGCAAAGGGTGTTACTGAAGAGTCAGCGAGTGCAGCTTCGATTTCTCAGACACCGCAGCCAAAGGCTGCTGCCACTTCGAGTGCAACGGTGCAGCAGGAGTTGCTGGCAGAAGCTCAGAAGTTACTTAAGGGCGTAACCTTGAAGGCTGCTAGGGTTCAGGATGGTGGTGATCTTGCAATTGATAGGGCCTGGCTTCTGTCGGCTATGGCTAGTGCGTCGGATCCTGATTTTGCGCTTGTGGACAGTGGAGCCACAAATGGGTTAAGGCAAGCGGAGCCGGGCGAATGGGAGCGTACTAGGGCCATTCAGGTTGATTTAGCTTCCGGAGTTGCGGAGCTTCACATTGATGAGAGGGGGACTCTCTTGAGCCAGGCTCCCTGCCAGGTCATAGTCCCTGCCGGTTACTTAATTGAACTGGGTTATGTTGTGAGCTGGAAGAAGAAGGGCTGCTTGATTACTCATCCTAGGGATGGTAGGCTTCGGGTACAGGTAGTTAAGGGATGCCCACTGATTCCGAGGGATGATGGCTTGAGATTGCTGCGGGAGTATGAGGGTCTTAAGGATAAAGGAAATTCCCCCCAACGGGCGGCGGTTTGTCGGGAGAGTGAGATTGTTGATCCTGCGAATGCACGGGCTTGGTTATGCAAGATTCTTCGCTCCAGGGGCGAACAGGGTCCGTCTATTGAGGAGCAGGAGTGTTTTCTCAGGGGGATGTTTCCCGAACTGCCGGATAATTGTGTTCGGAGGGTAGTTTGTCCGGTGTTGGACCCTGGAGATGTTGATCACTCGTCTCACCCTTGGAATCGGCGCTTTCGTCGGTCTGTTGCGCGTTCGAAGCCTGGCGGTATCTTGCTTCATATGTTTGCCAACAAGAAATCCTGGAAGGGTTTCGACCGGGTGATTAGCCTCGGTAAGGATTACCAGTCGGACATCCTGAGTGACCCGGTGTTTAAGTATGTGATGTCGTGGGCCAGTTCAGGGAAGATTGGTGGTTTGGTTGGATCATTGCCGAGAGAGTCGGTCTGGCCTGGCGGTCAATCTTCTGGTCCCCAGGAACTTTTGAGGGGTAGGTATGGCGATCGTTGGGGTTTTGAGGGCTTAACCGGAGAGCAGTCTAGGGTTGTATGCGATGAAACGGTTCAGTGGTTCCGATTCTTTCTGGTATTTGCGGTAGCACAAGCGGTTAAGGATGCTGAGAGCGCTCCGATGAGCTGTCCTGTAGCGGAAAGGGGGGAGGAGGAGGTCCCTCCACCTGGGGTCGAGGATCCCAAGGATTTAGCTTTGTGGGCATTACGGGTTGCGTCTAAGAGGATTAGTGCTGCTGCCATTAAGAAAGACAACGAGGGGAATCGATCCACTGTATTCTTGACCTTTGAGCATCCTTTTGATTTCACGGAAGGTTCCGGCATTGGTCGGACGGAGCTCGCTGGGTATCCTTCTATGTGGGCATTTAGGGAGGTTCAAGATCTCGTTGGGGTGTACGGGTTGCACATCGCATCATTTGATCAGGGATTGCTTGGTGGCCGTAATGGGGAGCTGACAACGATTGCTACCTCTTCGTGGTTTCTGTATGAGGGACTTCATGGAGTTGGTATAGATTTGAAGGGTGATCCTAGTGGGGAGTTGAGGCCTTGCATTGAGTATTTCGGGTGGTCCATTGGGTTTCTAGCGCGCGTACAAGGGGCTTGGTTGGATTGGTGTGCTGGGAAGGAAAGTGAAGCTGTCGTAGCTGAGCGGAAGGTTTGGCTAGCTAAGCTTTCTGAGAAAGAACTACTTCAGCAGCACGCTGATAACGATCATGTTCCGTTTCTTCGGGGTTGCCCCGTGTGTATAGCTGCACAGGGTAGGCAGAGAAGCCATTGGAGGGCCGAGGTAACTAGCCTGTATTCTCTTAGCTGTGACTTAGCTGGACCGTTTAAGGACGGGATGAGTTTTGATGCTACAGCTTCTGGTAGAGATAAGGGCAAAGGGTATAAGTACTTCTTGAGTGCTGCGTATTCGGTGCCGGTGAAACCGGTGTATCTTCGGCCAACGGGGGTCGAAGAGCCTCGCCCAGAGGGGGCGGAGGATCTCGATTACTCTCCTTCTGAAGCTGAGGGTCCGGAGGGTCAGGCTTCAGGTGTAAGCGGGTTGGATGCTTCGCTTATTGTAGAATCGGGGGAGTCTGATCTGTTTGACGCTTCGGGGGGTTTGGGCCTGAAGGCATTGTTTCGCAGAGTCCGGGAGAAAACTTTTCCTGCTGTTGATCCCCTGGATTCGAGTACTTCCTTTGCGCATCAGCGAGTCGCTGAAACAGGGCCTGAATCTCCAGGTGATAAGGGTCAGTCTTCGGTTGATGGTGTAAGGGTTGAGACAAAGACTTTGTTTCTTGGGGTCCCGTTAAGATCCAAACATGGTCCTGCTGTTATGGCACAGATTCAGGCCCTTGTGTGTCGTCTTGAAAGCGCAGGGTTTCCGGTTCATCGCTACTTTAGTGATAGGGCTAAGGAGCTGAGGAGCCATGATTTGGTACGTTGGTTGCGCGATAAGGGGATTTACGCCTCCTTCACGGCTGGGGAAGATCCTCAAGGTAACAAAGCGGAGTTAGGGGTGCAACATTTGAAGCAAGGGGTCAGGAAGCTCCTGCAAGCTTCGGGTTTGAGTAGCTCCTTTTGGCCGCTAGCGCTACTGCACACTTCTAATCGTAACTTCCACGAACTTTGTGCAGCTTTGGGTCAACCACGGCCTGCTATGCTGAACTTTGGTGCACCTGTTGAGGCCAGAAAACGCCTTAAATCGGGGCACAAGAAACATTGGGAGCCGCGTACGGTTCCTGGTCGTTATTTGGGACAGGCTCCGGATTGTACGGGTGGACATCTAGTTCTAGTTGGAAAAAATTTGTCGGACCAGAAGGTTCTCCTAACCAACACGATTTATCCATTGCGTCCCGAGCCTGCGCCCCCTAAACCCAAGTATCGACTTTCGGGTAAGCGCTCGCCCGGTTTTGCAACTCGAGCTGTAGCTGCTGTGGCCAGTCTCTGGCCTTCCCGAAGACCTCGTGCATCCAGGTTGTCACCTGGGGGGGAGTCCTCTGAGTGTTCGGATGGAGTCCTGGGTTTTTCGAGTGAAGGCGCGGGTTCTTCCTTGCTGAGTTTGGGGGCTTCGACACCAAAGGATTCTTCTCGGGACGTAGAGCTTGGAGAATGGGTCGAGGTTGATTCGGATTTCGAAGCTGAGCAGGCGATGTGCCTGGATATTCTTGATGAAGAGGATTCTAGGGGCTTAGATGTTGGGTTGAAGGCGGTAGCCGAGGAACAGAAGGAGTGGTTGAAAGAGTTGATTGCTTCCGGCTCCTACAGTACTGATGAGGTTGTAAGGGTTTTAAGAACTTGTGCAGGCAACCTGCAACCGGCGAATCGGAAGATTATGGGAGGAAAGGGTAGGTATGCTATTCTTGGCCTGTATAATCAAGGGGGTCTCAACGGTGTAACCCGGTTTGCCCTTGATAACCAGGAATTGGTGAGGTACTTGAATAGGTATGTTGATTCGTTCGGCATGGGTGGAAGGTATACGACGCTGTACTTGTCATTGAATACTGGAGTACCAGTGCACCGGGATATCAGGAATGATATGACGGCCCCGGTTTGGATTGTAGCCTGCGGTGACTTTCAGGGTGGTGGCCTATGGATAGAGGGCGAAGCCGGTCAAGGTCCCGTGTTAAAGGTTCTTCCGAATGGGGAGACGCGGTGTGGGTGGATTCAGGACATTCACGATAAACCTTTTGTTTTTGAGGGTTCCAGGTGGCACTGTACTGAGCCTTGGGGCGGTAGGGACCGGTGGGTGATCGCAGCCTACGTTCCTCGGGGAGCTGGAAGGGTGATCAAGGATCATGCCCAACAACTTGAAAGCCTAGGGTTCAACTGTGATGGTTTGATTCCTGGGATTGGGAATTCAGGGATCTCGATTTCGAAGTGTAACCAGGCGTCGGTATCGTTTGCCGATGATGATGCCCTTAGCGTTGAGGGTTCCTGTGTTGATGACGAGTATCAAACTTCTGAGAATGACATTTCTTGGGAGATTGATTTTCCGTGTGAAGTGCTTGAGGGTGATTGGTATCCAAATGTCGTTCAAGCTCATGCTGAGACCGCACGCTTGTGCAGGGTCCTATCACAAGAGCTGGGCGGATGTTGGGATTCGTTCTGCTTTGATGGATTGTTCGGGCGGCTGAGAGCGGCTGAGAATCAAAGGGATTGGTATGAAGGGCTTCTCTGGGATGAGTTTCTTCGGGATTCCGCGATATCCTTGAGGTCACTAAGTACAGTTCCTTTGGGCAGTGATGAGCCGTTACCGGCTTCAGAGGTGTTCCTTCAAACTAGGACGGTCTCTATGACGGAAGCTAGGCGGGAACTTCCGTTGTGGATTCCACCGGCGCAGGAGGAAGTTACGTCTCTTGAGGATGTCCATGAAGCAGTCATTAGAATACAAGTTCCGGATATCGAGGCCCTTGTTAAGACTGGTCATCGGGTTGTTCAGGTTCCGGGGAAGGCCGTGCTTACGCGGAAGTCCGGTGTAGGTAAACGTCGGTTTCGATGCGTGGCATGTGGGAACTTTATCCCTCAAAATGAGAACGCCCAGAGCCTCTACACCACTGGAGTTGAGGGTGTGACTTTAAGGGTAGCACTTGCTTATGCTGCACATATGTCTTGGGTTGGCCGGACCGCCGACATTAAGACTGCATTCCTGAATGCCCCCTTAGAGGAAGGCTACGATAATGGGACAGAGGAGATTGTAGTTGTACGCCCTCCTCACATTCTTGTGGAAATGGGACTCCTTGGTGTCACTGATCGGTGGCGGGTAGTTAAGGCCCTTTACGGTCTAAGACAGGCTCCGAAGGCTTGGGCTGTGCACCGGGATAAGATTTTAAAGGCTTTTGAGTTCGTGTACAAGGGTTCGCGCTTTGTCCTGAAGCAAGCGATTGCTGATGAGTCGTTATGGTACATTATAAAGGCGGACATCTCGGATGCTAACAACTATGCCCTGATGGTCGTGTACGTCGACGACATCTTGGGATTGGGACCGAGGGACCTTTTGGTATCGCTCTTCGAAGCCATTAAGAATATTTGGACGATTTCTGAACCAGAGTGGATTGTCAAGGAGAAATCTGTAAAGTTCTGCGGCATTGAGTTGTGGGCACTTGATGACGGCTTCCGTATGTCTCAGTCGGATTACTTGAGGGAGCTATTCGCGAGGTATAACATTTCCACTGGTGCGAGCTGTCCTATGTCATCCTGGAGCGAACCGGAACCCGAGGTAGATGCAACAACAGATCTGATCAAGGAAGCCCAAGGGGTCACAGGTGCACTCCTATGGGCTGCTTCGAAAAGCAGACCGGACATCAGCTACTCTGTCTGTAAGCTTGGGCAGTACGCAACAAAATCGCCGGGTATCGTCGTCAAGGCTGGTATGCAAATCCTTAAGTATCTCTTTGACACTGTAGAGCTGGGCATTGAATACAAGCGAACAGCAGGCACAGCTTGGTTGGACACACCAATCCCGAGAACGGTTGGTACGGTAGAGGTGTTCACTGATGCTTCACACGCGCCGGAGGGGGCTAGAAGCCACCAAGCGATTATGGTGATGTGGCTTGGCAGTCTTATCGCTTGGGATTCATCCAGACAACCTTTCACAACACTGTCCAGTGCAGAGAGCGAGCTGGTGGCCATAATATCTGGGGTGTGCGCCGCGGAATCAGTCGGGGCTATCTTGGAGGAATTAGTCGCTGAAGACCTTGTGGTATCGGCGATGTCCGACAATCAAGCATCAATCCGAAGCTTCGCTGCTGGAAGCCATGGCTGGCGTAACCGCCACTTAAGAATGCGCGCGGCCTCGTGCCGCGAAAGAATCGAATCTGGTAGTCTAATTGTCTCCTTTGTACCTGGAGAGCGGCAGCTGGCCGACTTAAGCACCAAACCGCTGGCAAGACCAAGAATTATGTACCTACTAAATCTGCTTTCAATCCGTGCGAGGTCGCAGGATCAGGAGGTTGATAATCACGGACGGGTGTTGAGTAGGCTCTGGTTGACTTCGCAGCTTAAACCGGTGGGTTCAGCCCACATGTTGGCGGGGTTAGCGTTGCTTGCAGCCATACCGGAAGTGAGAGCGCAGCCTAGTGGAGATGCGGCTTTGGAGTACTATGGATGGTTTAGCTGGTTGATTATGTGGATACTTACCGGGGTCGGTTTAGCTTTAGCTTGGTGGTTTGTGTTTCGCAACGCGGATGCGGACAATCTTGAGGAGCAACCGCTTGAAGCATCCCAAGAGTCTGGCGTGCATGAGCTTGCTGGTCAGGGTGATCACGGGTTGTTTGGTTCGGATGCGGTTGCGGGTTTAGGATCGGGTTCTCTGACTGGGGGGAGTAGCTCTAGTGGTGATCCAGCTGGGCTGCTGCATCAGCATGCTGCCGAAGCGCTTTTAAATCAGAGTGAACCAGCTGAGCCAAGTTTAGATTATGAGGATCTGGTCCAAGGGGACGAGGAACCGGTGTTTCCCCTGGCCCTGGTAGGAGGGTATCTAGTTCGGCATTTCTTGGTACAGCTGTTGTCGGTAGAAGGGGAAAGGGTTTTGATGTTCCTTGGGGATAGGTCTGAGTCTTGGTTTAGGCTTCGGTTGACCTCTACTCAAGTTAGGTTTGGAGCAGCTGGTTCACTGGTTGAGATTCTTAGGCAAGGACCTTGGGCATTGGTTTTTAATGGGCCTCAGTGGCTACTTGCCACAGAGGAATACATCCGACGGGGGTGTGTTGATCCGGGCTTTGAAGAACCATTCGGAGCATCTCTGTCAAATGTGGCACAATCATCTCATGAGGTTCCCGTCAGTGGTGAGCTTACTGAGTTCCCCTATGTCATTTGGGCTCCTTCTGACTTTGTTCATTACCTGAGACGATTGCTGGCTTTGAACGGCGCCACATTGTTGAGCTTGCTTGGTAACCAGTCGGTCGAATGGGTGCGGCTGAGGACCGTGTCGAGATCCTTTCAATCTGGGGTCGTGCTTGCTTTAGTGGTATGGCTTCAGGGTCGAGGGATGATTAGCCGAATGCTTGACGGTCCAGTGTCCTATGACGTAGCCACCGCTTACATTACTGGGCGCATTGCGCCAGATTCCGAGAGCGAAGATGAAGCATTGGATGATTATCCGCATCGCGATCCCGCCTACCAACAGCATCCTCCGGTGCCAGTGTTTGCTCAGATGTTTCAAGAAGCTTTTGAGGAAGCTACTTCGTCTGATGCGAGTGTGACTTCTACTACCGAGCCATCGGTTTGGAGTGCGAGTTCTAGTGAAGTTGAGGAGCTTGGGCAAGTCGAGGAAGTCGCTGATAGCTTGAGTCCTTCTGCTGAGGCTGTAGCTGGGGTCCGATACGAAGCTGAAGACGGGAAGCTTTTGGTTTACTATGTCGATGATGTATTAGTTGTTCCTCTGCCGGGGTGGAGCCTCGCGCAGGTTCTGGTGGTAGTTCAAGGGCTACGCACAGGCGTTTGGGATAACTTTCAAGAGGCCTTGGAGGCTGTTTCAGGTGACGGGGCAGAAGCTCCTGGGTCTTAAGGGGTTTCTAGGTTCCGGCTAGTGGGATTGTTGGGTCTTGCGTTTGCGAGTGATTTAAGATTAGGCTGATAGTAGGTCTCTGAATTCTGGGTTCGGGGATTGGTCTGTGCGCCACGACCGAAGGTTGTCGAGATCTGCTTGAGGTGATACTTGAATGCTCTGTGACCATGTGCGGTGATCATTTCCACGAGTGCTGTCGGGCTCCCTTTTAATCACGATGAAAACAGCTTTGAGTTGGTGATGGAAGGCTGTAAGTTCCTTCCTTTTGCTCTGCAATCAAATAAAGGCTGTGGGTACCTAGTTAGCTTGTGATGATTTCCCGTGGTAGGCAATGTTTCTCCAATTTTAGATTGGGCTTTTAGAGGTCCTGTTAAGCTAAGTCTGACAGGTCGTTTGGAAACACGCTGAACGAGGGAGATTGTCCGTTAGTGTTGGACGCTGGAGACTTGTATTTCAACTATCCCCGAAGGGGACCCTCACGAATAGCTCGAGGTGATCGGAATTGAGTCTTAGCTTTTGTCCTCAAGCCGAGTGCATAGTGTCGAAACAGGTGGGAACATCCTGAATCTCGTGCGAAAGCATGTTTTCCTAGTACCTATCCCCTGGCTCTTGTAGGACCAGGTGAGGGGGAGTGCGTGGAACACGCTATCAGGATGCTCCCTGCGCAAAGGATGACACACCAAGGTGCGCAACACGAAGGCTGTTTTTGCTCGAAAAAGTTCGGAGCCCAGATACGCGATCGATTAGGCCATAACATTCGGGAATCACGAAAGTCGCCAGGCAATCTTGTCCTTCGGATTGGATTCGGATTAAGTACTTGTTTGGACGTTTGTGTCCCTGGAGATCGAGGTGGCCGCTCGGATTGCAATTACTGGGTTTGGGTGGTTTAAATTACGTACTAAGCCCTAAACCCCCCATAGCCCTGAGCGCTAAATCCTAAACCTGCGCTGCCGGTATATAAAGGCCCGGCTCGTACCTCGGTCTGCCGCTCACTGGGTTTAGGGTAAAGGGCTTATATATAGCTAAGGACTTCGGGTTCAGAGTTTAGGGTAAAGGGTTTAGAGCCCAGGACTTCGATTTCAGGGTTTCGGGTTTGGAGGAATTACGGTTCCTCGAACTGGAAGCCCAGAAATTGATGCGAATGCGTCAACAATGGTGAATATGGGATTGGGAGATAAATTAGAGTGTCAAGGAAGCCCACAAATTAGTATGCTGTCGGATAGGGTTGCAGCTTAGACTATCCTGCAGGTATATTCAGGAACTCTAACAACTAGTGATCATACTCAGTTTCTGTAAACTACCACTAGTGGTATCATTGTCACCTCCTCAATGCCGCTGTCATCCCTCATTACAAGCAGAGCTACTAGCATCTTTATGATTATGACGATAACAAATAATCGGTACCAGCATCTTACTGTCTTGCGCTCGTGTGTACTATGGCTATTTCGCCGGAAGTGGCAGTAGAACAAAAAACAGGAGGAGTACATGGGTAATCCGACATCAGCATGACATAACTATAATAAGGAGTCCCCCAATATAGTATAGGCAACTATTAAGACCCTTGTATTCGTAGTCGAGGCTCGAGGCAGCATTGATTCCAATCCGACGGCCGGTTTCGTTGAAGCTCCATACCTCTTCGTGCTTTAGTTTGGGGTTTAGGGTTCAGGGTTTAAGGCCCCCGCATCGAGCTTAAGGTCTTGTGGTTGGCCTGGCATTTGCTGCCTTTTCACTACGGCCACTATGCTGACGGGCGGAGCACCCTTAACGAAACAAACTGAACCGCATCACCCTAAACCCTAAACCCTCTGGCAAGACTATATGTACCCAAAAGGTGTCAAACATGAGGATTGGGCAAAGGGGGGGCAGATCGACTTGTCGAGCTCCTTGGACTTTGTGTTGAGGGTTTTGGGGTTTTGGGGTTTGGGGTTGAGGGTTTAGGCTTGAGGGTTTTGGAGGTTTGGGGTTGAGGGTTTAGGGTTGAGAGTTTAGGGGATGAGGGTTGAGGGTTTAAGGTTGAGGGTTTCGAGTTGAGGGTTTAGGGTTGAAGGTTTAGGCTTGAGGGTTTTGAGTTTCGGATTTAAGGTTGATGGTTCAGGGTTTAGGGTTCTTAAACCCTAAAAGACCCTTAACCCGTCATCGTTTCTTTCCTTGGTTCATCGAGCAGAGCCGGCTACTCGAGGACCATAATGAAACTCTGTGCGCTGTCCGGCTCAAGAATACCGATTGCAACGGTTGATGATATGAATCCTGCATTACCTTAATGACCCCAGACCATGGAAATTATGGCCTATTTCTCACTATGGGTAATGCAGGATTTGTACTATCGACCGAAGTAAGGCCTTCGCTGCCAAAAATCCTTGCACATACATACTCGTTAAAAATGCACGTATTCCTCCGGGAGAACTTAAAGGCTCATGGGACTTAGTAAGTAAGGTTATAAGTAGCTTATTTATAATTAGGATAACCCCACTTAGGGGACTTATAACCCCAATTATAACCTACTTACTAAGTCCCATGATCCTCTAAGTATACCCAAACTCCCCCTTATAGATCCCCTGTAGATCCCTTAAAGGAACCTTTTAAGGAACTCTAAATTCCTAGTAAGTCCCATGATGCTCTAAGAAGAGATGTGTTCGACATGCAGCTGGCTGTCTCGGCTGCGTGAAAGCCAAGGCCTCGAAGGCGCTAAAGCTATAAGCCCTCAAAGTAAAATCCGAACCTGAGGTAAACCCGAACGGCTAAAAACCCGTGAAAACCCCATCAAAAGTCTAAACCGCCCTACACCCTAAACTCTAAACCCTAAACCGGCGATTGAATTTCGATCTTCGTCCGAGAGGCTGAACCGCTCGAGGCGTCGCAGGAAGCCTTGGATGAGGCTTTGGAGAACCTTTGGTTTCGGGGTTTAGGGGTCTAGTGGTGTAAGGTTTAGAGCTTTGGGGTTTAAGGTTTAGGGTTTGGGGACAGGGTTTAGGGGCTGAGGGCTTAGGGTTTCCTCGTTTTTGGGGGGATTTAGTTTGCGGTTTTGGTTGCGGCTCTCCAGTTTCGGAAGAGGGCTGCGAGACGAATTGGTGCTGGAGGCGCAATTTGGGCTCAAAGGTTTGTCCTTGCTTAAGGGATCGCGGGACTTAGTAAGTAGGTTATAACTGGGGTTATAAGTCCCCTAACCGGGGTTATCCTAATTATAACCTACATATAACCCTACTTACGAAGTCCCATGAGCCTAAACCCTAAACCCTAAACCCCTCTGAAAGAACCCTGTAGTACCCTTTAAAGGGAACCCTAAGCCCCTTACTTACTAAGTCCCATGAGCCTTTAAGTGCCCCCAAAGGAGGCCTTGGCTGGCCCGGCAGGTCTCTGCGGCAGACATCGGTCTTTGGCCTTTGAAACTTGATTCGAAAGCCATGAAGGCCATGGTTGCTGTGCAAGATACTTCAGAGTTGAGGGTCTAAGGTATAGGAAGACTGTCAAGACATCCTGTTTTGTTGAGGGACATGGCTGATTTTTTCGTAGAACCGCTATGCCATTCGTCTTTTCCAAAGTTTCTCAAGGAAGTCAACATACTGACGAACCTCCAGTCACCGAGGACGCGAGAGCTCGTCCCTGCCAGGTACCAAACCCAGAGACTCCAATATTATCCCTTAATTAAGGAATATTCCTTAAATCGTATTAGGGATCCTATTATAATTTAAGGTATAATCCTTAATTAAGGGATATTGGAGTCTCTGGGAACCTATCGAAGCATTGACACCACAACCCACTGCGGCCTGGACACCGTCGAACTCGACCGCCGGGCCAAAGCCAAGAACGGCGTGGCGCACCAACGACGTCCTGGTCTATACTGAACTTAGAACCCTAGCAAAAATTATAAGTTTAGCTCTTTCAGGTTTATCCCACTTAGGGGACTTATAACCCCAGTTATAACCTACTTACTAAGTCCCATGATCCCCTAAGTACAGATCGCAGGTTCAGGGGTTTGCTCTGGCGCACAAGGCCCTCTCGTCTCGGCAAATCATTATTCGGACACACAGCTCTGTCGGGCGATTTCTAATCCCTACAGGCTAGACCCAGAACCCCGCAGCCTGAAGCTCGAAGCCAAAACGAATCGTTTCGGGGTTGCAGGGTGTTTCGCAGCCTACTTCAAACCCATCAGCGCTCGTCTCACTTAGCCGGCTCCGGCGGACATGCGCATGACTTGGGGCTCTGGGACTGCGAAGTAGACACCAAAGAAATATGCTGTGCACATACCTGCATACAAACCACTCGACCTGTAGCTGTGTGTATACATACATATATATATATATATGTATATATATATATATATATATATATATTTGTATACACAGAATAAAGATACCAAGACCTCATTTACGCATCCATCTGTTTCCATGAAGTATTCCTACATGCATTTACTTAGTTTTCTAGCTTTGTACACGTTAGATGGTGGAAATAACTACTCACTTTAATTATCTAGCCTAGGAATATGGACTGAGGGTAAGCCTCCACTTTTCGCCAAGCAGCCGGCTCAACGAATTCTCGGGGGAGTCTGCACAAATCTGGTCGAATTCCTCCTTCAATTCCTGACAGGGATAAAGGTCTCCGCACTGTCTTTCGTCCTACGTCTTCAGACCCCTCTAATCCATCCTACAGAACCCGAAACCGGATGAAACAAACCCAAAACTATTCCGACGCCCGCAAACCCATGGCCCGAGCCACTGAACCCTCCTGAAGGGCCTGAATCATCACAACAAATTAACAATTAGAACAGTGTGTCTCGCTGCATGTGTCGGAGTGTACTACACTGAGACGACGCATGTAAGGACTACAAGGAAATGTTGTCAACATGTCTTTAGACCCTAATGCATGGGCGTTCCTAGTTAGAACAGGGTCTGGGGGTATAGTAGCGTATAAATAAAGCAAGGTGATTGCCCTTACACGCAAGGTTACTAAGCATTTTGGAACCCGATATTATTGCAATGACTACATATTGTACTATAATGATG